CGTTTACAAGACTGGGCCACAAGTTGGCCTTCCGACGCATTTATCATTATGAATCAGGAAGAAGCGGGGTTTTTCACAACAAATGGTTATATTGTCGCTAACATATAGAATCAGGTTTTAAGATTTGTACAAATGTTATGAATGAATGTCAATTTACTAGTTCGTTTTACGGTTACGGTCATCTTGAAAATTTAATTTATAAAGATATAAAGATCACTGATACCCTTTAAAATAATCTTGTTTACTCTCAAAAGTGAAACAAAAGTCCACCAGTCCAAAACAGAATCTCTCACGGGTCTGTCTGCGAAAACTTTTATAACTAGCGAATCATTCTAAGAATTTCCACTCGTTTCTTCTGTTTACTATTGGGTCGCATATTTAAATAATTTATACCCTTGAACTTAGTAGTCGTCTTTCGACGGTAGAGAAACAATGAAGGACTGTTTTTAATCATTGCAGTGTCGGACTTCCGTACCCTTTCACTGCCGCTCTTCTTTTCATGACTTTTATGATGGAGCTTTGATCTTTATTTTTATGCCGTCAGCTGGAGTGTCGTATTTTAAGGGCCGAGACGACAGCAGCTATGTGACAAGCATATTGTGTGGTCTTCTATTTTCTGCTTTTCTTCCTACGGTACTCATTTATCAACCTCGGGACGAAGGAAGGCGAGTGACTTGAATTCTCGGTCCTGAGTCAGAAACAGCGTGTTTTATATTCATTGCATACGAAAATCTAGGGAATATGTGGTTAAAAATAAAGTTTGTCATTGGCCGGAACTGAACCCTGCACCTCTGGAGTTATGGAACCGATCACTTAGGCACTGTGCCACCGCGACACAAATAGACGATTGCCTTTAAGTGCTTGAGTTAAAGACCTTCGAAGCCATTTAGACGAAATGGTTGCTTTGTATTTTTCTTTCCTTTTATTAAACAAGTCCTTTTTAGACTTTTCGATTCGTTGCCTATAATTTCGAAATACGGCTATCAACTGTTCAGAAATTTGGCGAAACAAGTCGACGGGTTTTCGCATGTCAACATTGCAAAGTATGATTCGGCATCAGGGAGGATGTTGGAAGCGGCTGTGTTCTAACCTAACATTTTTTTTACTCTTTACAGATTGAACTGTCAGCTGGCGATCACAGAGGTCGAATATCATGGTCTTTCGGCGGATATCGCCAATGCCTTCTCCAGCTACGAGTCAGCCATGCCTTACCCGGTCCGGGTGCATACGTCGACGTCGAACGCCAGCCTGGCCGACGAATATCACGCCGTCAAACAGCTGACCCTCGGATTTTCCGTCGATTACCAAAAGTCGAACAGCAGTCTGCGCCGAATTTCATCGGCCATAAAGCACCAGAGCTCAAAGGCGTCAGACATCTGTCAAGCGGTGGATGAGTTGGAGTTGGAAACGTTACAGCATTCGTCGAAAAACGGTGGGTTTCGATCGTTGTTTATTTTTTCATATATTCGAAATAAACCGTGCCTTGGGTGCGTTGCGACCGTTTAGACAAAGCGAACGAAATCCGCTCGAAAAATCTGGACGAGATCCATGCTGTTCTTGAGTATACTGCCGAACACGAAGCACTAATGGCCTTCTATTACCTGGACGAAAAGAACCAAGTGAAAATTACTGAAATCTACGATGCCGACGACGAACAGGGCGAAAAGCTGTTCGCTTGAAATCATCGACCACTTATCGACTTTATTGTTTATCAGATCTATCCAAAGCCATAAACCAGTACTGATAGATTTGAATGGAACGTTGTTCACTTAGCTGCTTTTCATGTCTTTATACTGAACAAGGTTTTGTCACATCTTTGATGTTACTGTTTAGTTGCTTTGCACCTCTTTGTTCTTTGCGATATCTTCACTTTTAAAATATCTCTTTGCAACTGATGACGCAAACCGAAGTATTGGTTCGTACGCATTACTAGATTCCATAATGTTTTACCCATTGTTTGTAGTGCTTTGCAGACCCAACGATATTTGATAATCTGCAGTAGTAGATGCATCATTTCGTTCACTGCAGTTTTGCTACTTGAGCCTCATAAACAGTCGTGGGGAAGTTATGCGCAAAGCCCTACGACCATGTTAGCCTGGTTGCTCAGTCAGTAGAGTGTTTAAATCAGAACCGAGAGGTTTCATGTTGTAGCTGCTGTCGGGTGACTGGCCTTTTTTCCCCGAGGTTCATAGATAAGTACCACTGTGCTAAGGAAACAGGATACTACAGACTACGCTTGTCACATTGTAG